AGAGTGAGCTTAAGAAGCCAGGCTCAGTGGCTCAGCCTGTAATCCCGTGCTTTGGGAGGCTGAGGTGAGTGGATTGCCTGAGCCCGCGGGTTCAAGACCCGCCTGGGCAACTTGGCGAGACCTCATCTCTACAATAAAATCAAAACTTAGCTGCGCGTGGTAGCGTGCGCCTGTAGTTCCAGCTACTTGGAAGGCTGAGGCGGGAGGATCGCCGGAGCCCAGCAGGTCGAGGCTACGGTGGCCAGGAGCGGCCACTGCCCTCCAGTCTGGGCAACAGAGTGAGACTCCAACTCAAAAAAAAAAGAGTGAGCTTAAGAGGTTTCACAAAAGAACCATTCAAAAACAAGGGAGCGGATTCTGCTACGTTCTGGTTCTGAAACAAGACTGGAAGTCAGCAAGTGAGATCTAGAGTGACAAGAACCAAGCAGCTTCAGAGTCGGCTTGCAGGGATGGTGAGGAACAAAGCCGAATCTGGTGACTTGGACCTGTGGTCTCAAATCTTGAGTTCTTTGCCAACGTGCCCAAAGGCCTCAAGATCATTGTCACTGCTGGGCCTGGAGGAGGTGGTGGCCAGAGATTTGTTTGCTGGCTTTTGGGAAGCTATATTAATATAGGGAAATTTCAGTTCACTGGTAAGTCTTCTGAAATTGAATTTAATCTTCTCCTGTGTTCATTAAACTATTTAGACAACAGCAAATGGACGAAGGGAGACAGGAGTGTTTTCTTTATGTTGCAAAGTGAAGACCTCACAAAGAATCCAAACACCCTGCTACATTAAACTTAACTAGCAATCTGCCCGCTGTCTGGAAGAGCACAGACTGGTGGCTGCTCCTTAGAGTTGACAAGTGTGTGCACCTTCCTCAGTGAGAAAGAGGGAGCTGTATTTGGAATCATGGTGGATTCTGCGGTTTCCTCCTGATCTGAAATGTACAAGAGAGAGAAGCATGGCTTCCAGTCTGTGGTTAGATTTGATAGCCAGGATATGCTGCCCTTTGTGTTTGTTAAAGTGTACTCTGCTTTCCAAAATGGTCCTTTGGGGCTTTCTCGTTAAGATTAAAGAATGTGATTATCTTCATGTTAAAGAAACATTCAAGAGTATTTCGACTGGGCATGGTGGCTCATGCCTATAATCCCAGCACTTTGAGAGGCCGAAGTGAAAGGATTGCCTGAGCCCACAAGGTTGAGACCAGCCTGGGCAACTTGGTGAGACATCATCTCTACAACAAATCAAAAAATTAGCTGAATGTGGTGGTGCATGCCTGTAGTTCCAGCTACTTGGAGGGCTGAAGCAGAAGGATCACATGAGCCCAGCAGTTTGAGGCTGCGGTGGCCATGAGAGTGCCACTGCACTCCAGCCTAGGTGACAGAATGAGACTCCAACTCAAAAAATAAAAAGAGTATTTGTACTGCCTAATGTTGTTTAAGCATTTGTTGAGTTTAGGAACAAAGCCTAGCTGTGCCTGAGAGGAGAGAATTACAATTTGGTAAAATACATACTGTGTTTAGAAGAGAGGGTACATTTTTAAAGAAACAACACAGAGAGAGCTCCAACTGTTAAACTTATCCAGCCTGCTATTTACTTGCCTTGTTTTAATTGTAGGTTTCAGTATCTAGTTACCATGTCTCTTCAAAGATGTTTCTGGTTTGTTCTCCTGGACCCCTGGGCCCTTCAGTGAGAAATATCCTGACTGAAAATCCAACACTGACCTGTAGGAGAAGTACTGTGGTGGGGAGAGTGAGCAGAGGACCACAGTGACCACACACACGCCTAACTCCAGCTAGGCCCGGCCTTTTTGCCTCCATGAGCCTATGCCTCACCTCGAAAATAAGGTTTTCTTCCCTTATTAAGAAGAGCCATGAATTAATAACTGAATTGCCAGGAGTGCTAAAATGCACTATCTAAATGCCATGTATTGTTTTGAAGCTGTTACTCCTGGAGGGTGGCTGGGTTGGCATTGTTTTCAAGGCTAGGATCTAAACACCAGCTCATCTATTCTCCAGCTGTTGTTTATCCTCCAGTTTCCTGGAATAGTCAGGCACAAGACCTTTTGAACATGGGTTTCTGCTGCTCTTCATTCTGGTGGATAGTAATTAAGCACACTACTGATTTAGCCTGTTTACTGACGAATGTAGGTAGTGGACCAAATCATATCTGCATCCCCCAAAAGCAACGGCATTAAACCTTGCACCTCCCATCATCTCTTCTAGCCGCACGCCAGCCCTTTGATTGGAGCCTTTTTATCACGTCTCACCAGTTATTCATGTTCTCAGCTCCCCGAGTAGTTTATTCCATTTTTCTCTCTTTCAACTATTTATTTGTTGTGAGGTAATACATACATAATGTACAATTCAAACAGAACAAGAGGCCTACAGTGAAAAGTCTCACCCCTGGGGTCACTCGGGGCCATCTGTGTTACCAACTTCTTGGGTATCCTTTCAAGTAGACTTTATATATCACTGTATTCTTCCCCCACTACTACCACTTTTAATCCAGGAAATGGGTGCATCTGTATTATATATACTGTTTGGTGTCTTGTGAGCGTTATCTTAGCAGCACATACTAAAGAAAGCTCAACAACTAGTGGGGAGTACAGTTCTAGGAGGTGTTTCTAGAACTGATGTGAAGATATCCAGTGCATCTATAGCAGTCTCTAGCCTGACCTTCTGAATGCTAAACAATTATGCCCACCTCCCTACCTCACCTCTCCACCGGATATCCCTGCCCCACCAGTCCCTCGTGTCATCACCTCCCAGTCACACTCAGGATCTGGACATCTGCCTTCCTTCAGCCAACACAGGCAGAAACAAGTCGTCACCCCTGACTCCTCTTTCCCACATTCCCAAAGCTTCCGGTCTGACTTCCTCCCTTTCTCTCAAGTCATTTGTCTTTTCTTCCTATTCTCATCCTCTACCCTAGTCTGGGCCTCCTTAACCTCTCTCCCGGATGACTTTACTAGCTCTCAATTGTCTTTTGCACTTCTACTCTCTCCAGTCTGTTTTCCACCCAGTGTGATCTTTTAAAATCACAAACTGGATGTTACTTCCATGCTTGACACTTTATGGTGGCTTCCTGAGCACTCTTAGGATAAAGGGCAAACTGATTATTACATAGCCCTTCAAGTCAGGTCTGGTGCTTACAGCCTCTCCGAGCCTGTTCTTACTGTGTGCAGTCCAGCCACAGGAGCCAAACTTGTCCAGCTTTGTCTGCTAGAGTTGCTGTTCCTCCGTCTGGAGTACTAATCTCTTCACCGCCCCATCTAGTTACTGTTGACTCATCTTTCAGATCTTAGGCTTCACTTCCTCAAGCCTTCACTCTCCCCAGGCTACGTCACGCCCCCAGTTAAGGCTGACACCACCATCTTTTCCCTCATTGTACTTAATAGGGTTTTGATACTCATGTATGTTTGTGATCATTAGACTAATGTTTCTTTAAATTATTGTTACTGATGTGGGATTGTTTCTGGCACATATGAAAGTATTTTATAAGCTATGACAGATCCTAAAATAAAAAGTGGTGACTTTTTTTCATGTATGTTGATACTTGAAATTAAACGATGAAGGATGGCATCCGTGTTTGTTTATGAGTGATAGATGACTAAAGAAGTCTCCCCTAGGGCTCCTGGTGTACCTAATCTAGACCACTCTTCACTTCAGTAGAAGTATCTACTTGATGCCAGAGTACTGGTGGGCATCGGGATTGCAGAGATTAACAAGATCCAGACAGACCCTGCCCTCAAATAGCTCACAGTAGCCGGACACAGTTGCTCACACCTATAATCCTAGCACTTTGGGAGGCAAAGGTGGTGAGAGGATTGCCTGAGCCCATGGGTTCGAGAACAGCCTGAGCAACTTGGCAAACCTTGCCTCCACAATAAATCAAAAATTGGCCAGGTGTGGTGTTACACGCCTGTGGTTCAGCTACTTGGGAGGCTGAGGCAGAAGGATCGCCTAAGCCCAGCAGGTCGAGGCTGCAGTAGTCGTGAGCATGCCACTATACTCCAGCCTGGGCAGCAGAGTGAGACTCTTACTCAAAAAAGAAAAAAAAATAGCTCACAGCATTGTATTTTCAAAAACCTAAGATCTGTTCCCTGTGTTTTTTGTTCAGGTGGCCCATGGCATTTTAGAAAGCTTTATATAAATTGGGTGATAGAAGCAACACTTTCTTTTGATTTTAGGAGAGAAAATCTTTCTTGTATTTCCGTCTAAATGATACTTACCTCTTCTATTGAGAGATGTCTTTAGAAATATCCCCACTTTGGGCATGGTGGCTCAAGCCTGTAACCCCAGCACTGTGGGAGGCCAAGGTGAGGGGATTGCCTGAACCCATGGTTTCGAGAACAGCCTGGGCAACTTGGCAAGACCTTCTCTCTGCAATAAATTTAAAAAATCAGCCAGGAGTGGTAGCATGTGCCTGTAGTTCCGACTCCTTGGAAGACAGGCAGAAGGATCGCCTGAGCCCAGCAGGTCGATGCTGCAGTGGCCGTGAGCATGCCACTGCACTCAAGCCTGAGCCACGGAATGAGACTCCAACTCAAAAAAGAAAAAGAAATTTCCCTGCTGGGCTGGGCACTTTATAATACTAGCACTTTGGGAGGCTGGGGTGAGAGGCTTGCCTGACCCCACGGGTTGATATTGTGATATAGCCTGGGCAACTTGGCGAGACTTCATCTCTACAATAAATCAAAAAAATTAGCCGAGCATGGTGGCACGTGCCTGTAGTTCAAGCTACTTGGAAGGCTGAAGCAGAAGGATCACCTGAGCCCAGCAGGTCGAGGCTGCGGTGGCCGTGAGCGTGCCACTGCACTCCAGCCTGGGTGACAGAGTGAGACTCCGACTCAAAAAAAAAAAAGAAAGAAAGAAATATCACTCCTGAAAGGGATAGAGCTCCTCTGAGAGAATTCAAGCTAAGTAAAGCTCATTTCACATTCCTTTTGTTAACCGGGAACTTTGGTGGTGTCCACTCACCAGGAGCTATTTTTGTGTCTGTCCTTTATTTCCAGGAAACCTGTAGGAAGTGTCAGGGATTGTGGAAAGAACATAATGGCCTCACCTGTGAAGAGTTGGCTGAAAAAGATGACATCAAGTACCGCACATCTATGTGAGTAACAGAATTCAGAGGGAATTAAAGACTGATTCTTAGCTCCTTAATCTACCTTTTGCCGGAGGAGGCAAAATGTGTTATGGCAAAAACACGCTCAAGTCACCCCTTTCTACAGTGATCTCAAGGAAGTGACCTAACCCCTGAGCCTCTGTTTTCTCATCTCTGCAGCCTCTTGGAGCTATTTCAGATGACAAATTGACATATAAAATGCCTGGCACATGTGAATTCAATTAATGATGGTCCCCTTTCTTTTTATAGAGTGAAGAAATAAGCAAGTAACATGTTTTAATTAGCTTAGACTGCACTAATGTTGCTTATGTCTGTGTTATAGGATACTGATGGCCTGAGACATTCAGTAGAATTGCCAACCTCCAGAATGCAAAATGATGCATCCATAATAATAATAACCATTACTTGTATAGTATTCCCTATGTGGCTGAGCATTTTGCAAATATTAACATATTAAAATGCAATGACTTAAGCATACAGAAATCTGTTTCTCTCGTAACAGTCCAATCTTGCCAGACTGAGGGGACATATCTGTTCCCTGAGGTTACTGAAAGATCCACGTTCCTTTGTCTCACTGCTTCACCATTCCTTGAGGGTGGTGTTCTCATCTACGTTATTGTATCTGGGTTGTGGCCACATTTGTGCTCCAACCTATAGGAAATGAGAAAGAGACACGTTGCCAGGTGTGATGCAGAAATTATATACATAACTTTTGCTCATACCTCACAGGTCTAGACTGAGTCTCGTGGGCACAGCCTGGCTCCAAGGCAGGCAAAATGAAGTGGGGAGTGGCTATTTAGGGCATTTAGCAGTCTCCAAGTCTTCAGTACAGGTAGGTACTGTTATCCTCATGTTACAAATGAAGCAGCTGAGGCCCATGTAACTTACCTCTGGTTGCACAGGTAGGTAGTGGCGTAGCAGGGATTTTTTTTTTTTTTTTTTTTTGACTTGGAGTCTCACTCTATTGCCCAGGCTGAGTGCAGTGGTACGCTCACAGCCACCCCAGCGTCAACCTGCTGGGCTCAGATAATCCCTCCGCCTCAACCTTCCAAGTCATCAGAACTGCAGGCACGAACTACCACATCCGGCTAATTTTTTTTATGTATTGTAGAGATGAGGTGTCACCAAGTTGTCCAGACTGTTTCTGAGCCCATGGGCTCAGGCAATCCCCTAACCTTGGCCTCCCAGAGCACTGGGATTACAGGTTTGAGCCACTGTGCCCGACCAGCAGGGATTTGTAACTGGGGCAAATGACTTCTTGGCTAGGCTATAAACCCCCACTTTGGTAGGCAGAATAATAGTCACCAAGTATGCCCATGTCCTAATCCCCAGAACTTGTGAACATGTTCTTTTACATGGCAAAAGGGACTTTCCAGGCATGATTACTGTTGAGGACCTTGCAATATGAGGGTTTATCTGCAAACTAGACCCAGTCTAATTATATGAGTCCTTAAAAGCAGAGAGCCTTTCCGTTCTGTGGTCAGAAATAGATGCAGTGACAGATGAAGAGTCGGGCAAACGTGAGAAGGACTTGACCTCCCATTGCTGGCTTTGAAGATAAAGGGAGAAGGCCATGAGCCAAGGAGCAAGGCAGCCTCTAGACGCTAGGAACAACCAGCTGACAGCCACCAAGAAATTGGAGACCTTGGTTCTACACTTTAACGAACTGTATTCTGCCAACAACTCTAATGAGCAGCAAACAGGTTGTCTCCTAGGACCTCCAGTAAGGAGTACAGTCCCATGGTTAGACGTTTGGACTGCTCTGGGACTCAGTGGCAGGCTGTGACATGTTTCTTAGAAGGAAAACCATTAGTTACTTTTTAAAGCAGGGCCACCATTCTGATTCTTCTGTCAGTTCCTTCTACTGGCTCCGCTAGCATCTCGGTCTGCCATAGACATTTGGAGCAACACCGGGTCCTGTTTAAACCTGGCAGCCTGAGCAGGCACAATGACTCAAGCCTGTAATACCATTTCTTTGGGAGGTTGAGGCAGGAGGATCACTTGTGCCTGGGAGTTCAAAACCAGCCTAGACAACATAGCAAGAAAGAACAAAACATCGCTTAAGAAAAAAATGGACCGGGCACAGTGGCTCATGCCTATAATCCCAGCACTTTGGGAGACTGAAGTGAGAGATTGCCTGAGCCCTTGGGTTCAAGACCAGCCTGGGCAACATGGTGAGATCTCATCCCTATAATAAATTGAAAATTATTTATTTATTTTTGAGTTGGAATCTCACTCCGTCACCCAGCCTGAAGTACAGTAGCACGCTCACAGCCACCCCAACATTGACCAAGTAACTGGAACCACAGGCACACGCCACCACGCCCGGCTAATTTTTTGCTCTATTGTAGAGATGAGGTCTCACCAAGTTGCCCAGGCTGATCTCAAGCCCCTGGACTCAGGTGATCTCAGCTCTGTAATCCCAAAGTGCTGGGATTACAGACATGAGCCACCATGCCTGACTTGCTATAGTATTTTCCAGCAAATCTAAATCCCTGACAGCTGTCACTTCACCCATAAATATTTTCTTTTGCTTACATAGCACTCACCCGTTATCTATCACTATTAACCAAATTGACAGTAAGTGTTTGATAATGTTTATACCAACTTCACAGTTCCCCCAATTATCTCAAATTAACTTTACATGTATACTATAGTTAGTTTTTTCAGGTTAGAATCCAAGCAAGTTTCACTTATTGCATTTGATATTTACTTCTTGTAAGTATTGAGGATACTCTGTCTCCCCAACACTCTTTTTGTCATGCCATTGGCTTATTGAAAAAAACAAGGACAGTTGGCTTATAGAATATCTTCTAGAGTTGGCTGCTCTCTTAGAGTGTCATTTAGCTTGTTCTCTGTTCCATACATTTCCTAAACTAAAATTTAGATCTAAAGCTTGATTTAATTTGCATTCAAGTTTTTTCAGTGGGGATATATTATATTATAGGTAGTTCTGTGCATCTCACATGGCATCGGATCCAAGAGCAACATAGCATCTGGCTGGCCCACTATCAAATACTTCTAAGAGGCCAGGTTTGGTGGCTCAGCCTGTAATCCCGCGCCTTGGGAGGCCGAGGTGAGTGTATTGCCTGAGCCCGTGGGTTCAAGACCCGCCTGGGCAACTTGGCGAGACCTCATCTCTACAATAAAAATCAAAAACTTAGGCGGCCTTGGTGGCGCGTGCCTGTAGTTCCAGCTACTTGGAAGGCTGAGGCAGAAGGATCTCCAGAGCCCAGTAGGTCGAGGCTGCGGTGGCCGGGAGAGGCCACTGCACTCCAGTCTGGGCGACAGAGTGAGACTCCAACTCAAAAAAAAAAAAAACTTCTAAACAAATGAATGACATGGCTAAAGATACGTGGGTTTGATGGCTACATAGCAAGTAGCTTTAAGGAAACAAGTGTTGGGTTAAAAGGCCACTACAATAATCTAGACCATTTTTTTTTTTTTTTTAGGGCTTCAAATTAGAGTTGTGGTATTGTGGGCAGGGGGTTGGGCTTAAGAAATATTGAAGACGTACAATCAGCAGTCTTGGTGGCTGATAGATAGGAGAGGCAATAGTGGAAGGAGTCAAGAATGATTCTCAGGTTTCTAGCTCGTGTGACTAAACTACACCAGCTAACACTGAGAACTTGAGAGAGATGTAGTGGCGGGAAACGGAGATTGCAGAGATGCGGACATAGTGAGTCAGCCACATTATTCACCAAACTTTGATTCTTCTCAAAAGTTCACTCAGAGGGGTAACGTCATCGAAAATGTCAGCGTAGGAAACTCCAAAAACCCTTGTTTCCCATTAAAGCAACAATTAGCCTTGTAAAAACCAACAGAGAGTTAACTTTTTCCCTTTTTTTAATCCCTCGCAACTTCCTCAGAGTTGGAACAGCCTCCTAGTGGATTTTATTGAAAGCATTTAAAGGCATATAGTAGCTGCAGCTGCTTGAGGCAAGGGATAACAGAAGGGCAAGCAGCAGACAGATCTAGAAGACTGCATGCATGTCTAGGGCTCAGTACATACTCAGAAAAAAAACAAGAAGCCCCTGGGCTTTCACCTCTTGCTGAGCATTAGGTTCTGTGTAAATAGGAAGCAAAAGGCTAAGAGAGTTATAAGTGACCTAGCTAAACTGACTTGAGTACCCCAGGTCATAGCCCTCCTGAAAGATCAGAACAGGAGGATTTGTTCTTTGATTTTTTTCTTCTAGCACTGACCACTAAGCTAATGGAACATAGACCATAGACTTCAGTGACCACACATGACAAAGAATAGACTTTACAAAAATCTCTTCTAATGAGTCACTAAACAAGCAATTGCAAACCACATAAGAAGCATTCCAGTTTTCAATAGTAACTTAGAAAATATAGAAACAGGAAAGTATTGCCCATTCACAGGGGAAAAAGCAATTTGACAGAAACTATTTCTGAGGACATAAACATTTGTCTAGTATGCCCAGTATGTCCTCAGAAATAGTTTCTGTCAAATTGCTTTTTCCCCTGTGAATGGGCAATACTTTTGTTTTTGGTTTTTTTGTAGAGACAAGGTCTCACCATGCTGCCCAAGCTGTTCTCAAACTCCTGGGCTCAGACAACCCTCTCACTTCAGCCTCCCAAAGTGCACAGATTACAGGTGTGAGCCACTATGCCCAGCCTTCATCTGTCTTAATATGATTAAAATGCCAAGAGAACCCATGGACAAAGGAAACCGGGAGCATTGTGTATGAACAAGCAGAGACTATCAATAAAGAGAAATTATGAAAAGAAACCAATAGAAATACTATATCCAAAATAGCCGAAATGAAAAAGACACTAAAAGAAGTCAATATAGTAGATTTGAGCAGGCAGAAGAAAGAATCAGAGCTCTTGAAGATAGATCAATTGGAATTATCCCATTGGAGGAACAAAAAAAAAACAAAAAACAAAAAAGTGAACAGACCCAATAAGACCATAGAAGAACATCATCAGCCGGGCTCGGTGGCTCAGCCTGTAATGCCAGCGCT